GGCTGCTCTGCACAGAGTGGGGCTTTGAAGGCACAGGGAGCTGCTTCTGCCTTTGCTATCCATGCCTCAGAGCTGTCCTTTAGTTGGCATCCTCCTGGTGCTTTACACCCGGCCTGCCTCCTCAGCAGCCCAGCTGCTTGCTGAGGGATCTGCTGTCACCCTCAGAGCCCCGATGTCCTTTGTGCTCCCAGGGCTGGCATTAGACTCAAAGAGCCTTATGCAAGGGACTGGCTGAGCCCTGAGGAGCAGCAGGTGCTGGAGTGGGCCCTGATAACAAATCTCTCAGCCCTTTTATCTGCCAGCTCTTGACTCCTGTGCACACCCAAAGATGCAGACCTGCAAGTGAGATGTTGGTGATTACCTTGTGGCTGTGTGGCATCAGCTGTACACTTCACTCACTATGCACCTGAAGAAAAATAACCCTTGCCCTGTGTATCTCCAGCCACCTGCTCCTAACCAACCCAAAGACCACTCAGCCTGTCACATACTGTCACCTTCTCTTTCCAAGCCCCCTGTCCTGGCTTCTTTGTGTCAGACCTCCTCACTCATGTCTTCTGTGGTGAACAGGGAAGGCCTGGTAGAAAAACCCACTTCATTCACTTGTACCTTTTGCTCAACAACTCCCTTATCTCATTCCTTCATGTTGGTTGAGTTTGCTATTCTGCAAGTACTTCTCTTTCCCTCCCATCCGTTATTCCCTCTGACATCATGGATTTACAAATGAAAACCCTAGCACAGAAAGTGCTCACTCAGCTAAACACTTTGTGAAGGTCAGTTTGAATCACTCCATCCTATTACAGATTAATACATAACACCACATGAGACCTTCTGGAGGCATTTTCCAAGTAAAGACTGTGGTGTTTCATCCCTACAAAAGCTTTCAGGACATATTTTTCTCATACAAAAGCATTCTGGCACAAAAATGCATACAAACAGCAAGGAGCCAGTAATATTAATACCAAACATGCTAAAGTCTATTTATTTCAGTGAAAACCATGTGTATTTCTGCAGGGAATGTAAAATTGAATTTCAAGTACAGGAAGTGCTCTATTACTGCTCTGGCACCACAATGCAGAGCTGCTTTGTTGTTTGCTCTAAAATAGTAAACTAAGCCTGTCCAGCCAAGCAAAGTGTCAGGAAGGAGCCTTCTGAGCCTTAGCTCCAAAATGGAGCTGCCTGCTCTCTTGTCAGCTTTCCCAACAAGCACTTCTCCTACTTTATCACAGTGAACACATTACCAGTATTAAGACTCTCAGCAGAGTCTTAAATGCAATTTCCAACCTCCCCCCGACCCTTGTCCTCCATCCAACTCCCCTTATGGCCCAAAGTCCTGCCCGGATTTCTGCCAAGAGTGCAGAAGCACGGATTAGCTTCACCCCATGAGCCTCAGAGCCCCGATTGCCAGCCCACCGTGGGCATATGCAAACCAGCAGAGCTCCATAAAACCTCGCAGAGAAACATCAGGGCCAACACTTCAGAGCAGACACTGAGCTCTGAGGAACCAGTACCAGGAGCTGCCTAAGAAAACATCATCATCACCACCCTACCCCCAAAAACCCCAGCCCCAAGACAATAAAACCCCAAGAGCCCTAACCACAAACAAACAAGGACTGATAATCCTGGTCTGCCAAGATTCCCCAAAGCTCCTTCCTTTTGGGGACAGTGGTTGATCTCCCAGGCTGGCCACTCAGCCTTTCTCCCTGCAGGCTACTGAAAACAAAAGTTCATGGCTGACTTCTGACCCCTTCAGCTGAAAGCACGGGCGGCTTTCACTCCTCTCCAGAAGGTAGAACTAGGACAGAAAAAGCCAGGCCAGAAAGCTTTGTGCACTCATAACTTCCTGCTCTCTACCTTCCATTGTCAAACTAATTTGAAATCACAATTTTTTGTACTACTCATTTCACCTCATTGCCTTTGTTTCCCACAAAATCTAACTAGCCTGCTTGTTCACACCTGTGTAAAGACTGGTGACAAGTTTCATACTTGATACTTGGCAAGTTTTCCAAGGTTAAAAAGCACGAGCAAGGCATGCAGGGGATGGAATAAAGTCCTTTGCAATGACAGCATAGCCCCCAGCTCTGAGCTCTGCTGTGAGGTAATCCGTGATCCAGTCACAAAATAACCCCACAGTTACACCCAGCATCGTTTGATAATTAAAATTCTATAAAAGCACAGTTGCCAAATTGTTTTTTCTTTTAATCATAACATTAAAGCACAAGTAAAAAAATCCCATAGTCCACAAATACAAACTACTTAATAAATAACTCATGGTGCTTTCATAAAAATCAACTATTAAAAGTTACAGAGCTTAATGCAAACCATGCACACACTGGAATCCTACATTGTGTCCTCCAAGTAAGAACAGGAGCAGCCCTGCTTATGCTGCTATCGTTAACCTGTTCATGAAGCTGTGAAAAGCTGCACTCTTTATCTCACAGCTCTTATGTTTTATGTTTTTATGCCTCCCTGAGGTCACACCTACTGGCGTGGCAGCTGTATCCAGATATTCAGGGACATACAGCTCAGTCTTTCCTTCCTGTACATCTAATTGATTTTTCTGTTTCAGCAGTCGAAAGCCCAGTTTCTGTGAGGCACTCCAGTGCATTGTCCTCCTTGGGGTTTTTCTTTGGCTTTTATAATCAACAATACAATGCAATTAGCCAAAGTTCTTGGGGGCAACTGAAACATGTGGGTAATAAAACTCAGAAACGCAAACTCCAGCTCTTCCCCAGAGCCCCCAGAACCAGCACTTTGTCTGTAAATGCCTCGTTGAAAGCCAAGCCCTGAGGTAACACTAAATTACTCAAACCAAAGTCAAATAAATTCTCTCCTGCACTGTGCAGTCGAGGAAACTCCAAGGCTGGGCAGCCTTCAGTTCTCTTCTAGTCCCACTCCCCACACAGCCCCAGGTAACACTTCAGTAATCCTAATATTGAGGAGTCCTTTTTAAGGGAAGTTCCACAAAGAAATTAAAAATGCATAATTCTCCCAGTGGTAAAAACCGAAGAGAAAGTGAAAGGAGTTTGTGTGCAGAAGTCTTCCTGCATAGCTTTCATGACTCTTGGCTGAAGGTGTTAGAAGCTGGACTTGGGGAGAAAGTCTCCTAAGCTCAGAAATAAAGATTTTTCCCCAAAATCTATCAACAGCTGAAGGTTATATTTTTTTCCTTTTTTAACTATTATTTTCATGGACTTATGGCCATCATGTATCCTGACTTTCTCCCACTCTTATTCCACAGTGAATAAAATGCCCATGCATCTGGCAATTTATTATTTTACTATTTCTAACCATCTCATACCTTTATTGATACCATTTCACAGTCCACAGATGCTGCCTTTCCTGGTTCAGTGAAACTCTCTCCTTCCAAAGAAAGGTCACAGGGCTTTTTCTTTTTCCTTTTTTAACCTGCTCATGGCTGCAGAACTCCATGCCAGAAGAGATTAGAATAACAAAGCTCACAGGCTTCAGATCAAACCACAGACATCACCTTGCTGTAGTTCATCTTCCATCAATAACAATCAGCTGAAATTGGACAGAAAAATCTAAGTTGTTACAAGGCTTTTTAGAATTCAAGAGGTGCAGACACCACAGTAAAAACAATGGTAAAAGCATCACAGCAATTATTAAAACACTGGGTCAATGTGTGTGGAGAAAATCCCTATGAAAAGTATATATGGCAATAAATCCTGTTGTTGTTAAATATAGAACAAAATTTGCTTCAGGAAAAGATATGAAATCAGGTTTGGGGACAGACTTTCAGATAAATGTGTGGGTCAAATGTGCATGGTTTGTGGCAAGTATATAAATGAAAAAATATAAAAAATAGAAGAAATAATACTCTTGTAGTTCTAGGATCTCCTATTTTCACAAGCTATAAAGAGAAAGCATTAGATGTTGGACACTTGAGATGCTTTTAAGATTAGGTAATTTAGCTAAGAAGCATTATTATAGGAAAAGCAGTGGCATATGCTTATTATTAGATAATTATATTAGGAATGACCTCTCAAGCAGAATGGATTCTGCCTGAGGTGAAACAGCCTTACATTTGTATGAAACCTCCAAGTCAGAACAGAAAAGAACAGCTTTATAAAATGAACGAAAATTACCTAAATAGGAAGATCTTTAGAAGTTCCTGCAGGAGCTCAGAATCCCAGAGGAAAATGAAGATAACTCACAATTCCTTACTTGACTTAAAGCACTTCCTCAATGTGTCTGCATTGCTCAGAACCAATTTCTCTCCTACTTTAGCTTTGACTAAAGTGCAGTGAAGTCCCTGAAGTAGAACATACTGAACCAAAAAATCTCCACAATAAATGGTTACCAATAAACCCAAACTGATTAGTATTTTAATTTTCAACCCTTTATACAAAAGTCACATTTAATTCTGTCTACTGGACTGAAAGAAAAGGCCTTTGCACCACAGGTTTTCAGAAGCTTGAGCTCAGTGTTCTCTTTGAGGTCAGATTTAGTAAAAAAATCCCTCCCAAATTAAAATTTACAGGAACAACCTAGAGAAGTTGCATTAAGTTTACTAAGGTAAAAAATACTTATAGCTGTTGCAGTAGTAAGACTATTACAAACTAAGTGGATGGGAGAATTAAAGCCTAAACAAAACACTAATTAAAAATAATACTGTTTAACTGGTAACTGGTAACGGGCGGCTCCGGGCCCGCAGCCGCGATTCCCGGGAATGCGGCGGGGGCGGCTCCCGG